CCCATCAAAATCAAGGCACTCTTAAGCAGCACCAGCCATTTAGTCCACCCTTCAAGAAGTGATCTTAAACCTGTAAATCAGTGGTTCGCAACCTTCCTAATGCCACCACCCTTTAATACTGTTCCTCATGTTGTGGTGACCCCCAACCATAAAATTATTTTCATTGCTACTTCACAGCTGTAATTTTGCTGTTAGGAATCAGGTATCCCCTGTGAAAGGTCGTTCGACCCCCAAAGGGGTCACGACTCACAGGTTGAGAACCACTGTAAATGTGGTCGTTTTTACAGTATTGAGGAATGTGGATTCCTTCTTAGATATTTTTAAATATAAGGAAGCAAAGTTAGGACTCAAATCAGGACTGTATCAGCCGTCATGATTTCCCATAGAAACTGGTCAAACTGGCCTTGTTCAATGAGAACAAGCAGGAGGCCTATCGTGGTAAGGACTTTCTAGGGAAGCTTTCCTGGGCGTTTTGCTGCCCACGATTTGGCTTTCTCCAAACACTACCGCTAGCATACACCCAGGTTCTTTGGACCTCCAGAATATCAACAAGCAACATGCCTCAGCATCCCAAAACACTGTTGCCAGCATCTTTGCTCTTGGCTGGGTCTACTTTTGCTTTGGCGGAACTTTCACCTCATTGTAGCCATAGCTACCAATAATTTTACATTGCATTCAGCATCACTGGTATTCATGTTTCATCTCCTGTTAAAATTCTTTCCAAAAATCCTTTAGGATCTTGATGTCACTTCTCTAGGGCACAAACAAGATTGTTTCCCTGGAAATTGATATGACCTACCACTCCTGGCTGCAACATCATCTCAGCCTATGTTTGAAGTGAGTTAACCATCTATAAACTGCTCGTTTCTTTGCAAACTTTTCACAAAGTATCAATTCCGCCATCCTTCTACCCAGGCATCCCCATGAATGTGCTTATTTGCTTGTGCTTCAATCTTAGAAGTCACATTGCTTTTCAAATGATCTTATCTTTCTACTACCTGAAACTAGCTCTTGTGTATTCTATGCACGTACCAGCTATGAATATTCATTCCATATTTGTTATACAGAAAAAATTAGCACTTTTAGCATCTCTTCTAACTCATGTAATACCAGAATCCCAATTTTAATGTATTTTGTAGCCCTTGCAAATAATATACATCCACAGATATGATACAAGAAGACCTCAAAAAGTTCATGGAATTAAAAGATAGAAATTTTTCTCACGTGGGAAGAGAATGCTTTTAAAATGATGATGGCAGCATACGTGCAAATGTGCTTGACACACTGGATGAATGTATGGATTGTGATAAGAGATATAAGAGCCCCAATAAAAGTATTTTAAAAAGAAAAATAGCAAACCAAAAAGAAATTTTCTATGAAGTCCGTTCATAATAAGGCAGAAAAGTACGTGAAGTATACAAAGGGGATACTATAAAGAAACTGGAATTTTTTTTCATCTAAGTTATGTATTTAAATTTTTTACAAAACAACCTTATTACCTTCAAAGTACTCTCCATTACACTTAATACATTTGTCATATCTGCAATTCCATTCTTGTAAACCTTTTTCAAACTCATCTGTTGGGATAGCTGACAGGACCTCCCTCATTTTGTTTCTTTTTCTTTACCTCTTCTACATTGTCAAATCACTGCCCTTTCATGTCCCTCTGTAATCCCAGAAACAAAAGGAAGTCTCGCAAAGCATGGACAGGTGAGTAAGTTGCATGGGGCAAGAGAGGCATGCTGCTTTTGCCAAAATCTGGTGCACTGAGATGGCTGCATGAGCACGTGCACTATCGTGGCAAAAACAGTCCCCGTGGCTACCACAAATCAGGCCTCTTTTGTCGAACACTGTCACACAATCTTTTCAGAACATTCTTTTCTAAATAGAAAGTGTAATTAACAGTCTGACCTGGTGGAACAAACTCCAAATGCACTTGAGTTGGCATTTTTGTCCATTCAGGAACAGCTGCCCAGAATGAGGACTGTCATTAATCGATATTTCACCTTTTATCAAACGAGAAAACCAGTCGTAGACTTGAGTTTTCCCATAGCGCTCTCCTTGTAAGCTGTGTTCAACATCACAGTAGTTTCTGCGGCATTTTCCCCAAGCAGCAAACAAAAGTTCACAGCTGCACGATGTTCTCTGAAATTGGCCATCACAAAAAACGAGGTTCAAGTGAAACTGCTTTTATGAAAACATTCAGTAACCAGAGAGAACGTTCCCAGGCTATGCCACTGGGTGCACTAACTCAGAGCAAGTTGCTCAAAGCTTGCCTAGTGGGGGAAAAAAGATCTGCTCTGCCCAGTACAACTGGTTTTGGGGGGGTACCCTCTCGTAATTCAGCCAAACAAATGAGGATATTCCAGTATTAAACACGAAGTATAAATACTGAATTTTTAACCACACTAGATTAATGTGTGTAATTAAGTAATATGTCTACTGAGGCTAACTGAAATGTTCATAATTTTCTGTTAAACCCTATACAGGGTGATTTCCTGATGAAATCTTTAGGGAAGCAAAAAGTCTCATCTTTCTCAGAGTAGCTGATGGGTTTGAACAGCCAACCTTGAAGTTAGTTAACCATTTAAGCCCCCTTATTCCATTCTAAATGTCCAAGAAACGATTAATATCATTGCCATTTGTTAAGGACTCTTCTTTTTTTAAGAACAATTTCCACTCATTTCACTTTAAATATTATTTTAATTTGTATGTTGGCTAGGCTTTCATGGAGTTTTACAATCTACCAGTTTCAAAAATAAAAGAACAAACAGTATTTTCTTTTCCTTTGCTACCTCTTACACAATTGCAAAGTGATTGATTCTGAAGGATCGTTCCTGGTGAGAAGTCAGCTTCCATCTTTCATTTGAAGAATCATCTGCCTTCACGCTGCAAAGATAAAGTATGTGAACAGCCACATTGTGCACATTGGTTGGGGGGGGGGATAACCATTTAAACATGAATGACTTCACAGTATCACATTTCAGTAACCACTAGAATCTATTTAATACAACCCTTTCATCAGAGTCCTAAGTCAAAGCTATTAAAATACTATAACTTGCTGCTAACTATATTCCTACATTATAAAATTAACTTATCTTCTTTTCAAATCATAGGCACATTCTTTGCATCTGATATCATTGCCTGCTTTACAATTGTTTGACTCCGCAAAAATCAGAAGCACTACTGGACAGCCAACCCATCCATGGTGCTCCGAGTGAAGACAAGTCAGGTTTGCTATTTGATGGACTAAAATCTCATTGCCTACGGCTCCAGGCAGCGAGAGGAACAGCCATCAAAATACATTTCCTACCACAGTACTTTAAGGAACACAGTAAAAATGAAAACATCGATAAACTGCTAAGCAGCATTCCAACCTAAACTTGTAAAACTTACTAGGACAATGACAATATGCAAGTATTCACCCCATTAACATTCTTTTGGGTAACCACATACAAGGAGGGGCTTCAAAAAGTTTATGGAAATATTCAACTATCTTTTCATTCTGTTTTCCAACAAACTTCTTAAAACCCTTCAATATGCCATGTCAAAGCTTCTCCACTTCTGGGTCTTCTTACCATAAGTAGGGGAAACGAGCAGGTGGTCATCCGTAAATCCGGGATTTACAGCCCTCACGAGTTTCAGACTGGAATGGGGAGAGTCCAATCTAGTTTCAGACTCTGGCAATTTCCTTTCTGCAAAAGAGAGCCAAAAGCTAAAAAAATCATTTCAAGCACCAATTTTACCTTGTGTTATTTCTATTACCTGTGCAGGTGTCATTCTGATCTGATTATACAATGTTCAGAATTTCCTTCATATATACCTACATTTCTTGCTAAGAATGTAGGAATAGGGGAAAACAAGGCTGTCAAAACAAAACAAAAAAGACTGTCCTGTCTGTCCTGTTTATGCTTTGCTTTTAATTATACAACATGTTTATGTCAAGTTAGAAAATATAGGTTGGCAAAATAAGTCACCCCAGTTCCACAAAAATTAGGGATTTTTTATATCCTACTTTGATGAGTATCATGGTGAGTATGATGGGTGGCCATCTAAGTGCAACTATCAGTCTCACCCTGTCTGGAGCACAAGAGTCCAGTGGACCGGCAGACCACAGGAACACCGGCCCCACAGCTGGGAGCAGAACGACCGCTCTGCCACTGCTCTGAACGGGACCGCACTAGAAGGTGCAAGTTAGAGGGAGAGAAAGGTGTGGAACAAAACTCACTATCTTAAAAAATAAGATGCTACTGACTGAAAAGAGACTGGTGGGATCCATAGGACTATGGTCCTAACCCTGAGTTCCCTCCAGGTCCGGAAGGGAACTCAATTTTCAACCAGATAGAGAGAGGTCTACAACACCAGAGCACTCTGTACTCCTTTTGAGATCCAAAGGACAGCCTTTGCCCGAAGAAAAAGTTCAGGAAGGTTAAGGTAGTATAGGGATGGAAAACACAGGGAGGAAGTGGGATAAGTGATGCTACTTTGAGGGGATTGCAGTCAACAACAAACACAATGTGTAGGAACTGCTCTATAAAGCTTGTGCAATTCACGATAAAAACAAAGTCACTCACAGAACACAATTGCAAAGGAAAAAACATGGTGTTTGAGTATCTTTTCAGGTGAATTCAAGCAAACACACAGATACATACATAAAGCTTAAGCAGAAAAATTAATAGAAATGTTTCTTTAATAGGCTTATATTTATGTTTCGAAAAACATAAACCTTTATATGAGTACTTCCAAATGCCTTGTCCAGTGTTATGTTATATACCCTAACAAAATTGATTTAAGGAGCTCTGGGATTGTTATAATCATTTATTTAAGAATAAAAGAGTGGTTAGTAGGAAAAATTGCCAACTTGGTAAAATTATACCTAGCACCAGTTTATTTAAGTTTCTTTATTTCCTGTAGTGTTTGAATTTTATAATTAAGGATTCCTGACCTTGTACAAATTAAAGATGAGACAGAAGAAGGTGGTATCAGATTAAATATGAAGATTGATTACCGTAACTATCTAGGATCAAAGACTCGAACCCAGTAAAAATTCCAAGAAAAACTCGGTTCCAGGTGTTTGCCCCTAGCTTTAGTCTGCTCAGAGCATGTGTTTAATCAGGTGATCAGCTGAAACACGGACTTAACATGCATTTCATCATGGCAAACTATCGATAATTGATGAAGCAAACCACCTAATACCAAATGCAACACCAGAGCACTCGTTTAAGGCTAGAATTAAAACTTTCCAACTACTAAATTTCACCCACTAATAACACAGCCTCAACTTCTGCTAAGGGAGGCAGAAAGGGTTTTTGGTTTTTGTTTCCTTGTACTTACCAGGAGATTAATCCAGTGTCCAGGAGTCACATTGAACTATACCATCTGTCATCCACCACGCATCATACTAGAAAATAGAAATCCACAGGTTAGGATTGTATTCCTTGAATAAGTATCAGCCTGCTCCATATTTGTTACACCCATATGCCAAAACTAAACCCACTGCCATCAAGCCGACCAGGACTCAGAGACCCCATATAGGATTTCCGAGGCAGCGCAGCCTCAGCTTTCTCCAGTGGAGCGGCTGATGGGCTTGAACCATCAACCATGAGGTAAGCACTCCTGACAATAAGACCAACGGGCTCCTTTCCATACCCTTAGAGCCTCAAATAAAATTATAATTTACTGTTCATTTTAAATTTAATTCCTCATTCAGTAATGCAAATCATTAACCCATGGAGAATGTCAAATGCCCAACCTCAGTATCAAATTAAGGCAGGATTCCTGCGCTAACTCAGCTTTGTTTAGATCAGTGGTTCTCAACCTTCCTAACGCCGGGACCCTTTCATACAGTTCCTCATGTGGTGATGACCCCCCAACCATAACATTATTTTCATTGCTACTTCATCACTGTCATTTTGCTACTGTTATGATTCGGGCAACCCCTGTGAAAGGGTTGTTCGACCCCCAAAGGGGTCACAACCCATATGTTGAGAATCGCTGGTTTTGAAAACTCAGTCAAACTAACCAACCTGTTAAGGTTAACCAATCACAGGTACTCCAAGGAGCCAAGACTCTTAAGATTCAGATGAGTGAGAAGTATTCCAAAACAGCTTTTGTTCTAAATACGCTTCAACGTCAACGAGCCAATTACAACTATGTATGATCTTTACGCTTTGGAACCCTTTTTCCAGTTAACTAGGGAAAACCTTCCCTTGACATGAAAAATTCAGATCACATAATTAGGAACACAGGTCGGCCACAAGATGGCACTATAAGAAAGCTTTGATTTTCTCTTCCAGAGCTTACACAGCATCTGAACTTGAGGTGAAACTGGATAGTCCTCTCAATTACGGAAGGCAACCCAATGAGTATTTCCTGAAATGGAATTCTCTGCCTAATCACAAGCTAGAAAAACACAACAGTTAACCGTCTTCTAAAGCATCTCATTTTAAAATATTAAAGGTTACTTTACAGGTGCCTGCTAACAATGAGTTCCAACACAGCAGTGATGGTGCAGAACCGGGCTGTACTCCAGTCTCTATAGACACTCACCGTGGATCAAAACCAGCTAACAGCAACTTTACAACACAATCGAGCCAGAAAGGCAAGGCTCCTGAAAATGCATGTCCAAGGTACTACGTTGTAGGAAGCGCAAACAATGAATTTAAGGGGGAAAAGTCGACCGTGAGCCGAGTCTTAAAATTGTTTAGGTAGCCCCTCACAGGCTGCCATGTGAACGAATTAAAACTTAAATAAGTCACATTTTAATCATGAAATAGGGCAGCACAAATGCACACTCCCATCACTGCAGAAAGTCCTATTGGACAGCACTGCCTCAAGGACGGGTACGTCTAAAATAAACAAACAGGAAGAAGCATGTAGCTATCATTTTTAAAAAGTGATACCATCTAGGTGGGATAAGGGGGAGCTGATATCATTAAAAATGGAATGTTCTGAAATTGTGGTAGCTAGTGTACAGTAGTTCTTGATCTGATTGAACTATATGAATGGAATGGTGCATCTGTATTAGCTCCCAATAAAATGGTTTTGGAGGGAGGGAAAAGCGGGGAGGGAGGGGAAAAAATGAGGAGCTGATGCCAAGGGCTTAAGTGGAAAGCAAATGTTTGGAGAATGATGAGGGCAACGAATATACAAATGTGCTTTACACAATTGATGTATGTATGGATTGTAATAAGAGTTGCATGAGCCCCTAATAAAAAAAAAAGGTTTTGGAAAACAAAAGAATTCGTACCATCTGCCACTACACAAATTTAACTCCGTATTTATACTCATATGCATACATATTGGCATTGACTTTATGGCAGTATATGAAAGCATTGTTCAAATATAGGACATGGACATTGTTAAAGAACACTGAATATATTTCTCATGATTAAAACACTCGTTGCTTTCTGACCCCTTGATCCAGTATATCATTCTCATGACACGCTGATACAAACCATGGTCTACTGCCTGCTTATTGTGTGTAGGAAGTGGCCTGGTGAAGTCAAAAGGATGGAATTGTGACAGAACTGGATTTAAGTCTTGGTTCTATCCCTTACTGTTCTCACCTTACTAGAAACCAAGCCCAGTGCCACCCAGTCAATCCCGGTGCACAGGGATCCCATGAGGGCAGAGTGAACTGCCCCTGTGGGCTTTGACACAATCAATCTGTACAGGAATAGAAAGCATCTTTTTTTATGTAGTGACTAACCACAGTGCCATCAGAAGCCCTAGTGCTCTACTTATACAGGTAATGCCAGGTGTTTTCAGGTCAGCAGCATACAAGAGAAAAGAACCTAACATACGGACCATTATAAAAGAAGATAAATCCCATGAAGTCATTGCTGAAGTTTCACAGTACATAACACATATTAAGATAGAAAATGTGTTATCGGTAAGGCTTCCCGGCAAGAGGAGGCTATTAGGAGCTAAGTTTGGGAGGGTTAAAAGTTATGGCTAGATTTTCAACTGTGTGAACGGGGGTATCAGCACCCCTTTGCCCCTAGATTACACAAGGGTCAACTATATTGCCTACAGGATTGTAGGTGGAAAGGCACCACTTCTCTGCCCTTGCCAGGGTCTGTCTTTATGTCCTTGGTGCATTACAGCACAAAGCTTTACACATAAACCCGGATATTAAAATATGTGATCCTGCTTCAGCACTTCATTCTACCACGTGAAGGCCATTCCATATTTCCTGAGTACTTATGGGGCTGAACTAAATATAAATACTCTGCATACTTATCTATATATTCTTGCCTGTGGGCAGATAGGTACAAATGGCCAAAAGATGTATTTTCATACATGTGACTAGATGTTGCATGAAGGCCTGATTCAAACTGCAGATAGAACCAGGCACTGCTTTCCATTTTAAGAATGGATGCTCCTCTCCTCAGCTCCCTCTAAATGGACGTAGTGCTTCCTGTGTGCCTACTGGTGGCGAAGTGGTTATAAGTTGGGCTGCTAACCTCATGGCCTGCAGTTCAAAACCACCATGAGTTTTGTGGGAGAAAGATGGAGCTCTCTACACCTGTAAGCAGTGTTGAAACTCAAAGGTGTAGGTCTACCCTGTCCTAGGGTCACGATGAGTCAGCATCGGCTCGATGGCAGAGTTTAGTGTTTTGATTTATTGTGTGCCTAGTATTATGGGAGACAACGGCAGCCCAAAGAACCTCTCATCTTCTTAGATAAAGGACAAAGACGTGCCACAGCACCTAATGTAAACTCATCTTCCGCATACAAGAACTTGACGTTATAGTCCTATCCGCCATGAAACGTACATGAAACCTGAGAATGTCCAAATCCAAGTCCAAGTCCACTTGACTTTGGGGGGTGGCTCTACAGCAGACGTTACGCAGGTTTTCAGTGCCGGCCGCACCTGTCCTGGCACACAGGCTACTAAAGAACCAGGCTTTCTTCCCTCAGTGGATTCCATTGTCAACCTGAAGCAAAAGAACACAAAATGGATCGCTTGATGTGGGTCTCCTTTAGAGAAAGCTCTACAAAATATCATCAGGGGAAAAGTGTGTGTGTATATGTATATATATATAATTCCCTATTTTAGTTCAGAATTTTGATCATTTTCGTCTTTAAAACACAGGAGAAAACCACTCAGAACAAATACAAAAGAAAAGTTAGGCTTTCCTAACTGCCCATTGCCTCACCTAGCACCATTACAGGATGAAAATGCAGGGGTTGGGTCACGAAAGCAAGAAATAACTTTAAATTGCTGTGGGTTCAAATAAATGACAGCCACTTCCATGTCTTGTTAACTTAGAAGTCTTTATTCCATGATAACCGGACTGCTAGAATCTAAAAGCGATTCTTTGATTGCAGTCCCAAATACACATTTCAGTTTCTCTTTAAAGGCAAAAACTCACTTATCATTTGGACTTAAGCAAGCATGGTCAGAAACAGAAAGCAAAATGAATGTTACTATTCCTGAGAGTTAGTGAGCGTTACAGGGTACAGCATTGATTATAACAACCTGGTTCCTGGATACATCAAGGAACAATATGATTCATCACAATGGTCTGATCTTGAGAACACAAGAGTACACTCTACAATCAATCACTAGTGGGACTTTCCCAGATGGGAGGGGGAAGGATGCAGGTCATCAGCAGCTAGCAAAAATGGAGTTTCTTTTGCTTGTCTGCCTCAAAATTAGGGCATTAGGAGCGGTAAAATCGCACAATTCTACAATTCCGTTTCCATACATTGTCTCACTGTGCACCTACTGTTTTATCTTCTTTTAACAAGCAAACACGATTTAGAGGCTAAATGGCAGACAATGGCAGATACAACGTAGAGACTAAATGGCAGCTTGGTGGTTAAAACCTACTGCCACCAAGTCAATTCCACCTCAGAGCAATCGTAGGTGTTTTGGGGTGCAAAAGAGACGTCAAATTACAAATATAATTAAAGGAGAACAGGACAAAGACACAATAAAGATCTATCCAAGTAAGAGAAACCATTAACAAGAGGTCGTAATGTCTTCCAAGGATTTTCAACCATGCGACTACTAAATAGGCATGGAACACACAGGCAACAAAAACATCCATTACAGCCGAGACAGAAGCAGGAAGGGGACCAGGGGTCAGAGCAAGTTACAAGATAGGTCAAGGGCCTTCCAGTCAAAGGTAGTCAAAACCCAAGACAATGGATCCCAAAATGAACTCCATCAAGGACACCACCAGGAAAGCCCCTAAGGGAGACTACACCTCTCTGGACTGGCTGGAGATGGGTGGAGGGAATTCCACTTCCCTGTGCACTCTGCCTGAGGACAAGACTATTCAATTTGGGTTGATAGAAGGAATTCAATGGAGGCTTAATCAGGTATGGGCTCTGCAAATGTATTTTGGGCTTTCACTATCATTCTGAGCCTTCTGCAAATAGGCTGCTTAACTCAGAATTTAAGCTCTAATATCTAAGGCAGAGTAAAATTCCTCCTTGAAGTTGTTCTAGAAGAGACCCCAGATTCAAATGTAATTTATCAGCACAATTATTCAGTGTTAAACAGGGGAAAGATAAAACAAAGGTGCATCATCCAGATAAGGAAGACCATCACAATGATTCACAGAAACTGAAATACGGAATACACAGGAACAAAATCATGCTTGACTGCAAATCTGTGCACTGCAGTTGCAGGCAGGATTAAGCAGACGTGGGGCAGTAACTATAATTGGGATATATACACTTGGCAAAATAATAAAACCTACAAGATTGGTTCAGGACCACTGACCAAGTCAGTCAGGGTAAGATTTATGACTACATCACCCCCCAGTACCCCAAAATTCCATTAAGGGTGCACTGTGAAGTCTCTAAAGGCTAGCTAGGGGAGGGGTAGCAGTCTACTTTCAAAGACATTCTGCCTGAGGACAAGCTTTTCAAAGTTGGTTAATAGCCTGAGTGAATCCAATGGAGCCCAAATCTAAGTGGAGATTCAAAAATGGATTTAGGAGTCTCACAGTAAACCCCAAAAACCAAACACCCACTGCCATTGACTCAATTCCAACTCATAGTGACTGCAAAGGACAAGGTAGAAACTACCCCTGTGTGCTTTTGAGCCTCATCTTTCTCCAACACACCCTCACTGGTGGCTTCAAACTGAGGACCTTTGGCTAAGCAGCCCACCAGGGCTCCTTCGGTAAACCCTAAGCTAATGTTCAAACTTCTAGCTCTAATACAGTTTCTAAGACTAAATCTTTCTCCCGAGCACCTGGTAGGTTTAAACAGCGTACCACGCAACACAGAGCTGAGCCCGCTACACTAGATAGAAATGGAACTGAATCCTGGCTCAATAGGTGACCCCAGTTGCCCTTCTCAAAAATGGGGGCAAATACTACCTACCACTTAGGATAGGATGTTTGATGATAAAACGAGGTTAATAAACATAAATTACTTTGTACAGTAATGGGCATGCAGTTAAATGTCCACGCTTAACCAGCTAGTCCATAGACGAGATGCTCTACCAAGCGTCATACTTCTCACAGTAACTTCACTCGAGCTTATTCGCTTGGCATAACTTTTCCGGAGATATTCAGCACACATTTGACTAAGCACAGACTGGCATGCTCCTACTGCCCTGAGAATTACAAAGACCGCGTGGTGATCTCTCCAGTTTACTGTAGTCATCCCTTCCATCCTTGCTCACAAGATAAAACTAAACCGGGAGTGCTGGTGGCATAGTGACTGTGTGTTGAGTCAGCATCAGTTCAAAACCAGCTATTCAGAAGACAAAGCTTTCTACACCCATAGAGCTACATAGTCTTGACAAGCCACGGGGGCAGTTCTACTCTGTCCTATAGGGTCACTGTGAGAATCCATGGCAGAGTTTGTGGACTTAAACTTAGGTAAGTAAAGACATAAAAACCACCCACCAGCATGGTTGTGCCTTTGAGATTTATTGCCCCATCAAGGCTACCCACCCTAATCAATTGTTTTCTTATCACCATGTGTACAAAACATCAAAAACAGAAAGGGCTACATAATTAAATTAAGATCTAACAGACAGCTAATAATAACAACAAATACTTGAAATGCCATATGTCATAGAATTTTGGTATAAGGTTGGTTATTCATAGCAGCATTTTGAGGTTAGAGTTGTACTAAAACCCTACCTAAGGATCCCTGGTGGCATGGTGGGTTAAGCACTGGGCTACTAACCACAAGGTGTTGGTTCAAACACAAGAGGCCCTCCACAGGGAAAACACGTGGCTCTCTGTGCCTATAAAGATTTCGCGTTGGTGTTTTAGACAAGCTAAGGGGCCTTGGGACTTTCCCCAAAGTATCCCATTTAATAAATTTACTCTTTCTGTTCAAACATTAAAATAATTTTTTTTTAATTTAGTCTTTGGAAACCCTATATACAGAGACTGAATCGAAATCAAGTGAATGGCAGTGAGTTTCAGAAAGCCATACGTTAAAGTATTCTGTAGTCATTATAAAAAACGACCTTCTTATTTACCCACACGAAGAGAGAATACAGAGTACACATGTTTGGGGCAGGATACACTAGAAACTGTGAGGAGGGAATCGAATGGCTCTGGGATTAGACTGCATCCCTTTTCAATTCTGACCCACATAAATGTTTGAACTGTTCCCAAAAAATCGACAATAAAACTTGGGAATTATGATTATAGGAGACTTACAAAGGAGTATACATTCCATCAACTAATTCATTGTCTTTCTCACTAAATTACACTCAAGGTCACTAGGCGACTGTTTCCAAGACAACAAAAGAATCCGAAATTAATTGACTGCTTACATCTAAAGCTATTAACATAAGCCTACTGGTGCCTGCCTTTATATATTTTATCTGATCCTCCCAAAATGAGCCTCAGAATGCTACTGTCCGGCTCAAGGTCACCGGAGTGCTGTGCCGCTGGAATCTGAAAGAGGGCTCCCACTCTGCTACCTTTCTCTCGGGATGTCTTGATTGTTAGGCCACCCTCGTCACTGCGGTGGCAATAAAATTGGGGGCACCTCACAAAGGCCACTAAACTCATTCGGCTTGTTTGCTGCCCAGTGTCCCCTGGAACAGCGGGCCGCTCGGCGAAAAC